CGGACCCCCCCCCCCCCTCATTGCTTTTATCTCCCCTGCCATCCCAGGGCCGGCAGAAGTTGGCTAGGTTCAACGCCCGGGAGTTTGCCACTCTGCTCATCGATATTCTGGGGGAAGCCAAGCGCCGGCAGCAGGGCAAGAGCCCACTCAGCCCCACGGGTGAGGATGGGGGCAGCTGGGGTGAGAGTAGGGGAGGGTGGGAACACCCCACACCCCCCAGCTGAGCCTCCTGGCCCTGCAGAGGCCCTCGACTATTCACTGAGGAGCCAGAGCGACCTGGACGACCAGCACGACTACGACAGCGTCGCCTCCGACGAGGACACAGACCAGGAGCTGCTGCGCAACGCGTCTCGCAACAACCGTGCACGGGTGGGCCACAGCCCCCTCCCCAACACCCAGATCCACCCCCCCAGCTCCCAGCTCCTGGTACTGAGCCCCTCTCCCTTCACAGAGCATGGACTCCTCTGACCTGTCAGATGGCCCCATCACACTGCAGGAGTACCTGGAGGTGAAGAAAGCCCTGGCTGCCTCCGAGGCCAAAGTGCAGCAGCTGATGAAGGTGAACAACAGCCTGAGCGATGAGCTGCGCCGGCTGCAGCGTGAGGTGTGTGTGCCGGACCTCCCTCTCCCCCCCTTCTAGGCATCCCATTTTCCCTTGTTCCCTATTCCCTTCCCACCCCTGCCTACTGCTCTCTCCCCCTCCGCAGATCCACAAGCTGCAATCAGAGAACACGCAGATCCGGCAGCAGGCGGTGCCCCCGCACCCCACCCCAGCCCCCAGCGAGCGCCCTGAGCACGGGCACCCCCCCGGCACGGCCCCCCTGCACCGCCGTGACCGCCAGGCCTTCTCCATGTACGAGCCGGGCTCGGTGCTGAAACCCTTTGGGCAGCCAGTGGAGGAGCTGGTGACCCGGCTGCAGCCCTTTGGAGGCGGCGTGAGTATGGGGTGGGCTTTGGGGTGGGCTACGTTGGGATGGGTTATTTTGGGGAGGGGTCTCGGGGCAGCTGCAGGTGATGCCGAGGTGGGGGTGGCGGGGCTTCACCCTTTTGTGTGTCGCAGGAGGTGGAGGATGAAGCTCTGTACTCCATGCACATCCCGGCCAGCGTGTACCGGGTAAGGGGGCCGCAGCGGGGGCGGCTCCTGCATGGCACGGGGGGGGCTGTCGGCCTCCTGAGCTCCTGGGTCGTTCCCTACCCCTGCAGTGCTGGGGAACCCACAGTGGGGCCGACGGCCACGGGACTTCCCTGCATGCAGGGTGGTGGTGTCCCCTGTGCTCGTCCTCCCCTGTGTGCCACCGGGCTCGGCTCCGCGCCCTGCCATGCCCCCCACTCAGCTCCCTTTTCCCCCCTTTCTTCCCCCTCCAGATGCGGAAAGGTCCGTCGGTCTCCTCCATACCCTTTCCCCCATCCTCCCCGCTGCTCTCCTGCCCTCCCGACGGTGCCCGGCACATGGTGATGTACCAGGGGGAGTCAGAGGGGTGGAGGGACCTTATCCCTTATCCCTGTATGGATATGGGGCCGGGCAGGGTGTAATGCTGCAGCTCTGCCCCACAGAGCAAACTGGACCGGCACGGCAGCGGCACCGACAGCGACTATGATAATACACAGACAGGCGAGATCCTGCTGGGGTGAGTGATGGGGATGGGGACCACTGGGGGACCTGGAGCTTGGCCCTGACCCATGTATCCCCACAGTGTGGAGGGGAAGCGCTTCGTGGAGCTGAGCAAGGACGAGGACTTCCCACACGAGCTGGACCCGCTGGACGGGGAGCTGGACCCCGGGCTGCCCAGCACAGAGGACGTCATCCTGAAAACCGAGCAGGTCACCAAAAACATCCAGGAGCTGCTGCGGGCTGCGCAGGAGTCCAAGCACGACAGGTAGGGCTGTGGTGTGAGCGTGGGGCTGGGCGGCGTCGTGCCCCGCATCGCTCAGCCCTGTTTGCCCGCAGCTTCGTGCCGTGCTCAGAGAAGATCCACTCGGCAGTGACGGAGATGGCGTCGCTCTTCCCCAAGGTAGGATGGGGGAGTGACCCCGCCGGGCTCCCATCGCCCCGAGTCCATGCCCTTAATGCTGTCCCTGTGCAGAAACCGGCGCTGGAGACGGTGCGGAGCTCCCTGCGCCTGCTCAACGCCAGCGCCTACCGGCTGCAGAGCGAGTGCCGCAAAACCGTGCCGCCGGAGCCGGGCGCAGCCGTGGACTACCAGCTGCTGACACAGCAGGTCATCCAGTGCGCCTACGACATCGCCAAGGCGGCCAAGCAGCTGGTCACCATCACCACCCGCGAGAAGAAGCAGTGAGCTCCAACCCACGGCCTCTGCTCTCCGTCTCCTCCCTCTGGTTTGGGCTGAGTGCAGGCGGCTGTTGCAGCAGAGCTGGTGCTCGGCCCTGGGGAGGTGCCCCCGTACAGCAGCCCCAGCCCGCTCCTAACTTATCCTGTACATAGCGTGTGCCATCCTCCTGGGTGGCCACGTTTTCCCCCCCCCTCCCCGCGGCCGCGCTCCCCCAGGGCCGCCCGCAGCATTACACTGGACAGGGGATGCCTGGAGGCCTTCCCCATTTTCTCCCCTCCCGGGCGTCCTGCCCCGCGCCGCGCTGCCTCGTGTAAGATGTGTCCTTGTACATTTGTATCAATAAAGATGTGAGCGTTGCACGGCCCCCGGCTCCCTCCCACCGTGTCCCCAAGGGCCGGACCTGCTGGCTGTGGACCTGGCAGCCTGGGGGAGGAGGATGGTGATGGGGCAGAGGAAGGCTCAGGGTGCGCTGCTCTGCACTTGGAGCGCTGCGTGGGGATGGCTGGCTGTGCTGAGAGCAGCAGAACGTGCTGGTAATGAATGTCAGGCTGGGGGCTGGGCTTGCTGCAATCCCTGCTGGGCTGTGTCCTCCATTAGGAAACATCGCCCCGTGCTCCCCCTGCTGTGACATTGCAGGGGGTCCCTGCAAGCAGCGCTCCGTAATGCGGGGCGGGGGCTTCGGAGGGCGGATACAACGGGGACGGGAGCGCCTCCATCCTGCCCCCGTTTCCCAATCCCCGTTGCGAGCGCTGCTGCCAAGGCAACGGAGCAAAGCTGGGCCGCCTCCCGTCGCCATGGCAGCCGGGCTGGTTGCAGGATGCTGCAGGGACCCCGCAGCAGTGCAAGGGGAGGGACCCCAGCCCCAGAAAGAGGCACGGCGGTGGGACCCCCACCCTCCAGCCCCACCAGGGACGCAGGCAGACACTCCGTGTACTAAAATTACTTTATTACAGTTGATTTTTTTTTTTTTTTTAACATTTCCTTTGCTATGATACAAAGGATACTTACAAACAAAATATTACATATGACCTTATTTTTTTTCTTTTTCTCTTCTCTTATTTTTCTGACAACTCGGTAACAGCTTTAAATGCACAATCTATACAATTAATACAGGTTATATATGAGCTATAATGTATGCTGAACCAGAAGAATACCAGAATACTGACAATATACTGTACATTAAGCCTTACCAGTTAGTGCTCGTGGCATTTTCTACAAGAAGGAAAACGCACACCTGGAGGTTCACTCATACCAGCCGCTGCTCCCGGCCACGGAGGCAGGCAGGAGTCGGGTTCCCATTTGGATCCTTGGCAGCCCACCGCCATGGGCGAGGGCCTGGAAACCTCACACCAGTGTTCATAGCAAAACAGCAGAGATGCGTGTTGTCTACCTGCAGCACAAAGCCACCAAGGCCGGGCTCTGCTGGACCAGGAGGGAACCCCACACGGGTGGCTGTGGGGCTGTGAGCTGCTGTGGGGTCCCGGGAGAGGAGGGGGATGGGGGAAGCGGCCACGGCCCCGCAGCTCCAGCCGTGTCCCTACAGGTGTGCGCTTCCCTGCTCCCACCCCGCTCTCCTCGCACTGATAAGGGTTTACCTTGTTGTTGTTGTTGTTGTTGTTTTCTTTTTTTAAAGCAACCAGCAAGTGAAGCGTTTGAAGTCGACCGGCGAAAAAAGACCTGGCATTTGCACAGCAAGCTGCAAATGGAAAATGAGCCGTTCCCCTCCTCCCCGCCCCGCTGCATCCCGGCCCAGAAAAACCCAAATGGATGGTGGAAGGAAAAAACAACAGGGGTGGAGAAGAGGAAGGGGGGAAAACGGGTTGGAAAACACCAGGTTGGAGTGAAAAGTTCATTGCTTGTGCAAAGAGAAACAAAACAAAACCCCAAACGAACTGAAAAAAAAAACAAAACAACCAACCAAACCCAGGAACATGCTGGAAATAATGGAAACGAATGGAAAGTAATATATATAAAATTAAAAATATAAATAGGATGTCTGGCTGACTGGTAGAAGAATAGGTCATTTAGGTTACAAAAAGGAATATACATTCAAGAGGCTCTGAACCCAGTGGGGGTAACTGATGTTAAACTTGTGTTAATAGTTAGGCTAGAATTCTCAAGTTTGTCTTTAAAATCTTCACAATACAAGCAAGCTATTTGTAAAAATGTACACTATACACACCTCACATAGCATCTCCTACCCTTAGCACACACCGCTACCCGCTCGCACACAAAACCAAGGGCTGCTCACGGCCAACGCTGCTGCCCGCGGCTCAGCCCAGCGACCTCCTCGGGCACCCCAAGGGCCGTCGCCTTTCTGTTATACACACTTCACTTTGTCACGCTAATTATTTACATCAGGGCTGTCCCCC